CAACTGTCACCCATACTCTTGGGTTTCAAGTGGTTGTATTAATATAGCACCTCTATGCTCATTGATTGAATTTTAAAGAAATGTTAAAATTTGGGTTGTAAACAATAAATTTATCTGACTGAGAACCCTTTTATTTATCTTGTATGTTAGGATTCCACTTACTATTTCATTGAAAATGTTTTCCACTGATTGAGAATGTTTTAGAACCACTGTTTTAGTTCAACTCCACATTTTGTGATAAGGTCATTAAGACCCAGGGAGGATGAATGATTCACCAAGTGTCACACTGTGAGTAACATAAGTAGGAAGAAAACGGGTGTCTTCTGAGTTGGGAGCATCCTACTGCTTTATAGCACAATAGTGTGATCTATTACTTCTACTATGGGAGTGAAAACCCCACAATTACAAGTCCATGCCTTATAGTATATTCTTCAGTATATGAAAAACGAAAGTTTTTCAAAGTGTGATAAGTAGAATGAATACAATTTTTTGAGTCCTTCAAAAATATCTGAATTGATAGCATCAAGAAAGTGAAATGACAACCCACAAAATGAGAGGAAGTATTTCCAGGTCATAAATCTGATTTTGGACTTGTATCCAGAATATATAAAGAACTCTTACAGCACAATAATAAAGACAAATTGAAAATTGACTCAATTTGACTCAATTAAAAAATGGGCAGAGAATCTGAATAAATATTTCTCCAAGGGAACTATACAAATGGCCAATAAGCACATGAAAAGATACTCAATATTATTAGTCATCAGGGAAATGCAAATCAAAGCCACAATGAGATACCACTTCATACACACTAGGATTGTTAGAATCAAAAAGTCTGATAATAACAAGTATTGGCAAAGATGAGCAAAAATTGAAAGCTTCCTGTATTGTTGGTGGGAATGTAAAATGATGTAGCTGCTTTTGAAAACAGTCTAGCAATTCTTCAAGTGATTAAACAGAGTTAACATATGACCAACATTTGCACTCCTAGGTATATAGCCAAGAGAAATGAAAAGATATGTCCACACAGAAACTTGTATATGAATAGTTATAACAACATTATTCCTAATAGCCAAAAAGTGGAAACACCTAAATGTCCATCAACAGACTAATCAATAACAGGAAGTGAAATTTCCATACAATGGATTATTTAGCCATAAAAAGGAATGAGATATTGATATGTGCTACAATATGAATGAACCTTGAAAACATTATGCTAAGTGGAAGAAGCCAGTGACAAAAGACTGCATGATTCCATTCATATGAAAGTACAGAACAGAGAAATCTATAGAGACGGAAAGTAGATTAGTTGTCACTTAGGACCGACAGGGGAATAAAGGGGTGGCGGGGGTGGGGGTGGGGAGTGATAGCCAAAAGATATGGGATCTCTTTTTGAGGTGATGAAATGTTCTAAAATTCACTGTGATGACAGTTGCATATATCTGAGTATACTAAAAACCATTGAATTGAACACTTTAAATGGGAGAATTCTATGATATGTGAATTATAATAAAGCTGTTCGAGAATAATTACCTTTGGTAAGAGAATACACTTCCTCTTCCTTTCTCAGTTATGGAACCCAAGACTTTGTCAATCCTAAATAGACCTGTTGGCTTCCAACCTCCTTCCTACTGCTCAAAGATTGTTGTGGTTATTGATTAAATGGCAACTGTAAAGACATTTGGCAAGTGACATATCAGCTTGCTTTATCAATTTCTGTATACCATCTTTGGATACATTTTAAATGTGTCCGTTACAGAGAGGGCATTTCATTGTCTGTATTGCAGTTTCACAACCTGTGTTTTTAAAAAATTAAAGTTTTTCATGAGGCACTGAAGCTTATCTTTGTTCAGGTTCTGTCTCCACATAAAATACTCCCTTTTTACCATTTCAATAACAGATATTTGAATAAAACATAGGAGACACCTGAGGAGCTTGTCTAGCTTTTCAATCTCTTAGAAATTAAAAACTGGTAAGTGAAAATCATAAAGTGTAGGGCTTTGGAATTTCCTTATAATAAATAAAGCAAACGTATAACAAATGCTCAGATGGGGGAAGAGAAACCATGGAAATGTGAAAAGTAGATATCCTCTCTTAACGACCTAGCCTGCCAACGAAGTTTGGCATTGAGTCTAGATACCTCCACTTTGTGTTAACAGTTCAAAATCACCCATAACAGTTGCTTCCCTATTAATGATGCTGGGAGGCACATGGTTTCTGCTTGAAGGTCAAATCCTAAAGTCGGGATGTCAAAACATTTATTTTACTTTGGAAAAGTTTCGGGCTTTTGTTTGTTTTATTTGTTTATTTTTGTTTTTTCACACTGGGTTTCTTTGCAGTTGTTTCTGAGACAATGAATATGGAAGTGCCCAGCCCAGGATCTGGGGTGGGTGAGAATCCATTAGCTGTTCATTAGATCTGAGTCTATAGCCTAACTTTAGCTACTAACAAAACCAAGTTCTTCCTGTGTATTTCTGTCTGCTTATGAAAAGAGTTGAGTCAGAGACTGATCAAGGCAGTAAAAATACTGAATGTTTAATACAGTGTGAATAATGTGAATGTGCCTAATCCTCACGATGAATCATTAACGTGTGGGCAGGCAGGGGTTAATTAAGAGGCACGGTGGTGGTCTTGAAACTGACACCGCCTGCTGTGAGATCTTGGGTAGGTGGTGTTATCCCCTCACCTTTCAGTTCCTCACTTGTGAAATAAGAAAACTGGACAAAGCTGTTTTAACTTTCCAGCTCCAAAGTCCCGTGACTCCGTGTGTTCCCTCCACACCAATGCTCGGGTCAGGGAAGTTGTCAGCTGGCCCAGGTCTCTCCCAGTCCAGCACCGCCACTGTCTCCGTTGTACTGGGTTGTATTTCTCCGTTCCCTGTTTTCCTGGCAGCATGCTGTGACGTAGAAGGGAAAAGCAGTGTTTGAAGCATGGGGCAGAAATAACTAATAATGATTCCTCGGGGATAGTAATGATGTTTCTAAAGGGAGTATCTTTGTAGTACTCCTCACAGTTCTGTGAGGCTCCTGGTGAAGGGCTAGGGAGGAAGGCAGGGGCCCTGGGGGTCAGTTGGGGTTAAGGCACCGGCATTCCAAATCTGCTCCTGGAACAGCCAAGTGGATGAATGATTAACCCAAGGAGTAAGTCGCTCAGTGAGTTGGGACCAAGAGGGCTGGTGGACATGGGGGTAGGGGGTAGAGGTGCTTGCAAGAGCAGGGGAGAAAGTTGAAACCAGGATTGGTTTTCAAATCATAACCAGATGTATATACATGTATAAACATACACACATACGGGTTGTGTTGATTCGTTCTGTGGTTATACCTGCAGATTCTGTTACTCGATTTCGAGTATTTTTCTGTTTCACATATATATACAAATATACACACATACTTTTTTATTGACGTGCACATTTAACTCAGCACTCACAAATAGATTCAATTGCAAAGCACCCGAAAAAAATAAATCTTATATAGGAAGAGAATAAATGCAGGAAAGAGGGAACAAGATGTTCATCCCCTTTGGGGTGGGTTGGGGGCTGTTTGATTTCTGGAGGGGCTGAGCCACCGGCTGTAACGGGGCTGCACAAGATGAGAGCCAGCCTGCAAGTCCGCACAAAGTCGGAGGCAGAAGACTGGGGTTCGCCCCGCCGCGTGGCACTCTCCCTCCTCCCCTGACTGTTGTGACTGCACCTGCTGCGTGTGACCGGCAGGCACTGAAGACAGCCTCAGCTACAGTCTTGGTGACGAGGCAGCCGCAGCCCTGCCAGCTCCCGCCCAGCTCTCATTGAGAAAAGGGGAGCCGGCCGGAGCAGGAGGAGGGGGAGGAGAAGCTCCCTGCAGAGCGGCTCCTGCCCGGATCGAGAAGCCTCCTGGAATGGGCATTCGACTGTTCTGACGTGGCGATTCCCTCGGGAGCCCCGGGAGTTTGAAGACACACGGGAAAAGGGAGAAACCGCAGAGAGCGTCAAAGGATGAGGGGTGCTGTAAAAGGAGCAGGGGAGTCCTGTGAAAAGAATCCATCATGCACTGAAAGGCTTTCTGGAGAAGGTGCCCTGATTTGCCTCCCCTATTGCTCAGATCAAAGGAGCCCGCAAGGACAGTCCTGAAGGATTCCTCAAGGGCCTTTTTGTCATTGTTCCTCAGTCCCCTTGCACACGGCTATTTGCTGACCTTTCCAGAGGAATCTCAGTCCCCCAGTTCCAGCTGAGAAGACAGTTCTTAAAAAAAAAAAAAAAAAAAAAAAAAATTCCTGCTGTTTGAACGGGAGGTGCAGCTTGCTGGCTGTGGTGCTTTTTGCTGTGACATTTTGGAATGTCTGCAGAAACTTAAAACAAAGAGAAAAACAACGTTAAAAACTCCCTGGATTAGGCAAGAGCAAAGGAAGTTTTTGCCAAAAAGAAGTAAATGAGAGGTGGTGGTAACTTATCCCTGATCCAGGACCTGGATGATCAAAACCTTCGGGTTCTAGGAAGCAGCACTTCAAACCTAACAAATAAACAAACATGAGACGGAGTGGCTGTGGGGTCTCGCGCAGAAGCGGGTCGTAAAGGCAGCCTGAAACTGGTCAGAACTTCGGGCCTGTATGATGCCTGAAGATCGAAACACTGGGGGACGCCCCTCAGGTGCCTTAGCGTCAACGCCTTTCATTCCTAAAACTACATACAGAAGAATCAAACGGTGTTTTAGTTTTCGGAAAGGTAGGTAGATAATATGTTAATGTCCTTTAAAAAATATGCATATATTCTCTGATGCTTTAAAGTCAGTTTTATGCTCAGATAAAATGGGATTTTGGAAACCAAGAGCTTAAAACTGTATAAGAGTGACTTACGTGCGTCTTTGCTTGTCTATACTTGTTTTTCAAGGTTCGTATTGATCTGTTTATTACGGAACGGGCCGAGTAGGCGGGGCTTAACGAATGGTGGTCCTATAGGAATCACCTTGACTAACAGAGAGCTAAGCAAGCTGGCCTGACCATCCCGAGAGGAGGGGCCAAGACCACCTTGGGCTGTTCCTAGACCCAAATCAGGCAGCCATGTCGTTATCCCTTAAAGTGAGTCCCTCTCAAATCCCTATTCTGTGCTCCCATCACGTGGGTTTGGTTCTGGCTGCCCGTGCTTGCCTCACCTCCACGGCTGAGAAAATCTTAATAATCAGGTTATCTGTAGTGACTCTTTTCAGGAGACTTTCAACCATATTGATTAACGCTGATTAGAAATAGATGTCACCTTGACTTTCCAAATACATCATAAGGTGGCTTTGGAGAGGCCAAAGATATCAACCATCAGGAACAAGGAGTGGAAAAACAGAACAACTTGTGATCACTAAAAGAAACTAAGCATTTCAGAATTGATGTGTGCAGGGGGAGTTAAAGGGTACAGCATAGGTAAAATGAGATGTTTTTAGAAAATGTTTGTGTATCAAAATATTTTAAAATGTCCTTTAGCTTAAAATGGGAATAACTGAATGGAATGGTTATTTAAATTGGAACTAGGTAATTATAATTTTAATGTCATAAGCTAATAATTTAATCGGGAGCTGATTTGAGTAACATCTAAGGTTGTTCCTTCCCCCCTTTTTCTTTGATTTGCCATCTATTAATTAATCCTCTCTATTTAGTAACTAACAAAAAATGAGAATAAAACAAAATAAGAAAAACCACATATATAAAGCCAAATATGGTGGGAACTTTTTAAGACTAAATCTTGTTCCTTCTGAGTCTCTTTGAGCAGTTAAGATCTGGCTATGATCATTGTCATATATTATCAGCAAGGAACTCAGGTGTTAATTTATATTCTCCCTCATCCACGAAGATAATTAAATAAGAGATACATGTCTCGTATTTTATAGATCTTTAGAGATTTCACGGTTACTGTAAGATTGCATCACCGACAGAGAAATTGACGATGATAGAGATTGAAAAAGGCTAGGGACTAACTGCTTAAAGGACATTCTCTCTTCTAGTTCCCCCACCCCTCAGCAACTAAATTGGGTTTCTCCAAACACATAGAGAGGGTCTACTTTTCTGGGTTATTGCTATTCATTTGTAACATGAGATGTTCTGGGGACAATTAATTTATCTTTGAAGCACAGAGCAAGGCGTTTTTTACCTTCTCCACCTTCTCTCCTCCAATAGTGCAGTATAGCATATCCACAAGAATCCTGGCTAGCGCTGCTGTTCATCAACCCTCTTCCCTTTCTCCTTAAATACCAACGAGAGAAGCAGTGCCTGTAAAGAAAATCCCCGTGGGCTGCAAATGGCAACCACAGGAGTGGGGAACAGCTTCCATCTATCATCTCCCATGGGCTGCTTTTAAAGTATTGTCTTTTCCTATGCAAAGTCTTAGTAATATGAGGAATGTTCAGCATCCGAGTCAAAGATTAACAGATTTTCAGTTTGCAAAACTATATTCTGGTTTCTGTCAGAACCACAGAGAGAAGAGGTGCAGAAAGCATTCAGCTGTTTTAAGTTTTCTTTGCCTTTCTCCGAGCCGGCCACACAGCAGCCTCTCTGAGTTCGCTGGCTGCAGGACCATAGTTACGCAGTGGGGCTGGGAAGAGAAGGTGCGCAGCTGCTGTGCGATGCTGTTTGTGTGCTGCGCTGGCCGTTCATGTCAGCCGCAGCCTGAAACACAGAGCGTTTACATCTTTATTTAAGGTCTGGAACTGGAAAGAATGAACTTTTCTTTCAATCCTGGGTTCCCAAACTGCTCCACCTTAAGAAGAGAGTGTTCTTTTGTGCTTTGTTTAATCTCCTGGGTACTCAAGTAGTTCAAGAAGTGGCCCTGGGTTTCAAGTTCCTCTCCCAAGCCTGTTGGAGAGTATCGGCTTAAGCCATTTCAATGAAAGCAAAAGGGAGAGTGCATGGAGCGTGGAAAAGCGCCCAGAAGTGAAAAACGTTGACGTGTCTGCTTTTCCTGATTCACATTTAAAACGTATTTTTTACTGTTGTCAAGGGTAGGCTGACAGAAGAGGAGACTCGCTCTTTAGAAATGCTCTCAAAATGAAGTGTGGCATTAAATGAAAGTTCCCAGAGGCCTGGTGGTGGTGGTGGTTGCATGCCATGTGAGCCACAACTAACTACTCCAGGCTCCTTTCTCTTCTGGACCTCTGCTGTCCTTTATTGCCCTTTCAGCTCTTTCTCTCTTTGTTTAATTTCCCCATAGTTTTAAAAATCTAGGAACTGAGAAACATCAATTAGGCAGGAAGCTGGGGATGACGCTGCTTTGGGTCTATGTTCTGGTGAGACAAAAATTACAATGTGTTTTTCACCCTGTTTATTTTGAAACTATAATTTTTTTTAGCCTTTATAAGATTCATATCTAATATTGGGAGCTCAACCAGTCTTTTGATTCCTCGGGAGTGCATAACACTTCGGGTCTTGAATGTTGATGTTAATTTTTAGTCATAATAGGCCACCTGGTTTAAGGTTGTGATCACAGGGCATACTAAAGTAAATTTTTAAACTCTGACTTTATCTTGTTTTGTTCCTGAGTTGCTCTCTTCTGGGAGATAAGTCGTCATTAATTCCCCAGTGGCTTTTCCTATGCTGTGCCACTTAGAGGTCATGCACTGTTGCTTCTTCCTTCTTTATATACTTTCAGCTCCATTTCTATTTCCATCTCTTCAGGTCTCTGTGTCTTTATTGTGTCCTGCACAAAACTTACTTTAACCTAAGAAGTGGCTCTTCAGGACAGCAGCCATCCTCACCTCTTTCCATCCCCAACATTCTTCACAAATTCCTACAATACACGGTCCATCTTGTAAAGCATCACCCACTTGGTTTTCCTGAAACTGTACTGTCAAGCAAGGTTCCACAGCTCAAAAGTTTTTTGAGTCCTTGCTGCTCCCGGGAGGAAGCCCTAATGATTTCATGTAATTATCAAGGCCTTCTAACCAATTCCAACGGTTCCCTAGTTAAACTCCTAGTTCCCCAGACTGTCCCTCTCTTTTTCTCTGAACACATCCCCTCCACCACATCTTTGCTTTTGTTCACTTTGTCCCTCTGCTACAGTGCTCTCTCTCTCTCCTCTGTTGTCTGGCCAAACTTCATGCTTTCTTTAAGGCAGTGTTGGCTTTCATTTCTTTATCCATTATACTCTTTACTCTATAGCCCTTATATTTCATTTCTGCTGCCAGTTGGCCACCTTATCATCATAACCATCTTAAAGTGCCCTATACACATTTGTGGTAAAAAAAAAAAAAAAAAAAAGGTATTTGTTTATTTCTTCCCAAAGTGAAGCATGGCAATAGATCTATTTAATCAAAGATTTCAGGTTGATTGCCAACTGGTAAAGTACTGTATAATTATCTATCTTTTCTTGCTAATCTGTAGTCAATAATGAATTAATATAGAATGTCTTTATAGTGCTGGTGGATAAGACCAACATTTTCTTTAAACTTTATCGTGTGTTGTGTATGTTGTAATCACTTATATGGAAATTGATTTGTTCAACAGAATACTGCTCTCCAAATCCAAATAATTTTAAATGGTGCTGTGATGTTGTGATTTGTCATAAGAAATATATATTTGATCTTCCTCCCATTTCTGGCACAGAGCTCCTAAAATCCTTGGAATTTCCTGAGCAATAAGAGCAATAGGAGCATCTTTTGTCATAATATTTCGTCTCTTGTCCTCAGTTCCTGAAATCACTTCAGAGCTATAAAAGTGAAACAGGTGTCTTGTTATTCATAACAAGCCCCTTTCCACCTCAGCTGGGTTTATGTTAGTGATGTGACTTTTGGGAAGCACCTAAGGACAGGGTTGGCTGCCGGGGAACCAACCATGAATCGAGGATTGGAGCTTTCAGTCCACCCCCTGATTGTCAGGGAGGGGAGAGGGACTAGCAGTTGAATCAATCACTAATGGTCAATGGTTTCATAAATTAGGCTTGTGTGGTGAAGCCTCCTTAAAAACCTCAAAGGACTGGGTTCAGAGGGCTTCTTGGTTGGGGAAACAAAACACTTCCACGTGCCACTGTGCTGGGCCCCAAACTCCGTGAGGACAGAAGCTCCATTGTTTGGGACCTTGCCCTATGTATCTCTTCATCTGGCTGTTGATTTGTATCCTTTAATATCCTTTGTAATAAACCAGTAATCTAGTGAGTAAATGGGTTTCCTATGTTCTATGAGCCACTCTAACAAATTAATGGAACCCAAGAAGGGGGTCATTGGAACCTCCAATCTGTAACTAGTCAGTCAGAAGCACAGGAGATAACCTGGGCTTGTGACTGGCATCTGAAGTGGGAATGAGGGGGCAGTCTTTTGGGACTGAACCCTTAACCTGTGGGATCTGTTGCTGTCTCTGGGTAAATGGTGTCAGAATTGAGTTGCATTGTAGGACACCCAGCTGGTGTCCGAGAATTGCTCATTGCTAAGTATGGAACCACCCCCCCCCCAAATTAGAATGGGGCCCACAACCTTTTTAGGTGCTATAAATGAGTAACTGGTTAATTCATGTATTAAAGTTTTATGGAGCATCTACCAGGTGATGATGGGGATGAGAAGACAGACAAAACAGGCTGCCTCCAGTCTATGAGTTCACAGACTCCTTGGGGATAAATAAACATAAATAAGTACTTGCTTTGTGATAAGCACTACACCAAACTATGTACAAAATCTAAGGAGCCCATGAACGAAAGACTGACCACAGGCTCATCTGGAAAGGCAATGACTCATCTGAACTACAGGAAGTCAGATT